AAAGTATCAAGTGTTTACAAAGATATGGAGGAACTTGAACTCTTATAATCTACTGGTGGGTAAATAGTACAAGTTATTAGAAAAAGAGTTTGGAAGTTTCTTTAAAAGTTAAATGTATACCTATCTTGATACCCAGCCATTTCATGCCTATGTATTTACCCAAGACAAATGAAACCATATATCAATACAAAAACTTGTACACAGATATTGAAAGCAGCTTAATTTGTAATAGCCAAAATATATACAACAACCTAAATGTTAACAGATGAATAGATGAACAGATTGCAGTGTATCTGTACAATGGAATACTACTCAGCAATGAAAATGAATGAACTATCAATAAGGTATAACCTGGATGAATCTAAAATACGCTGAGTAAAAGATGCCAGACCAAAAAAAGAATATACTGTATGACTTCAGAATCATATATTTTCAGAATATACAGTATTTCAGAATATATCTACATATCCCGAAAATGCAGACTAATCTATAGTGACAGAAACCAAAGCATTGATTGCCTGGAGGAGAGGGCCTGGATTACAAAGAGGCGGCTGGGAGTGGTGACTCACGGCTGTAATCCCAGCATTTTGGGAGGCTGAGGCGGGCAGATCATGAGATCAAGAGATCGAGACCATCCTGGCAAACACGATGAAACCCCGTCTCTACTAAAAAATACAAAAAAATTAGCCAGGCGTGGTGGCGGGTGCCTGTAGTTCCAGCTGCTTGGGAGGTTGAGGCAGGAAAATGGCGTGAACCTGGGAGGCGGAGCTAGCAGTGAGCCGAGATGACACTACTGCACTCCAGCCTGGGCCACAGAGCGAGACTCTGTCTCAAATAAATAAATAAAGAGGCAACCCCCTTAACCACCCACCAACATCTACAGACCATAAGGAAGTTGATAAAGCTGTTGGTGTCTCAAGGGCAAAACCTAATAGCTTCTTCAGACGTGGCCAAGCCAGGTAATAAAAAAGAGGCACATTTCAGACAGGAAAGCTAGGAGCTATGGCAAAAATTGAACTTAGAAATTACTGTCAGTAAAAAGAATCACAGTCCAAGCAAGAAATGTTTCCGTCCTTTAGGGTAGGTTTCCTGTGGGATTTCAAAGTTGTGATGGAGTCCATTGGTGCCAGTCAGGTGACTTACACTGCACCTCCCAGTGAGAGGACAATGCTATCCACACCTGATTGCCATCAGACTTGGTCAATTGATTTGTTCTGCCATTGAAATGTGAGAGAAGTGATATATACCAGTTCCAAGTAGAAGCTCTAAGAGATTCTATGTTTTGGCTTTGCTTTGTTTTGTTTTGTTTCTTGCCACAATAACAGCATTCTCAAGTAAGAGCTGCTCACTGGGCTATATCCCAAAATGTGGAGCAAGGAAGGAGATAACACCTAATCCAAGAAAAATAAACTTTGGTATTGTAAGCCACTGAGCGTATATACATGTTAAATTTAAGATGTTTCTAAAATAAAGTAAAACAGTCAGGTGGAGAGTTGGATACATGAATCAGATACTCAGGAACAGATCTGAGCTAGAGATAAAATTTGGGAGCTGTCATCAGCTAGATTACATTAGAGGAAGATGATTCTGCAAAGGAGACAGGAATGGCCAGATGTTTGGAAGAAAACCCTGGGTAAAATTTTTAATGTATTCTCACTTTTGCTGTCCTCATTCTTTATTCCTCTTGCTTCCCTTCCATTTTTCCAGCCTAGAGACTAATGTGCAAGCATCAAGCCTGCTGGGTCTGCCTCACACGTTGATAGATCTCCTTTTTACATTTGCTGGATTTTGAGCACAGTTTGAACAGTGACTCTTCCTTCCTAATTCACCTCTATATCTACAGGGCTAGATGACACTGCCTTGTTCAGAGAGCACAGTAAACCCCACCACTCAAGAGAGAGACCGACAAGTCACCTGCACATTCCTTCACCTTGGTTTTTACCTTGAATTCTCTTTCTTCCACATGCACATTCTACTCTGTGCTCTGGCTATATCAATAATTGTTTTTCTTTATAAGTTTTGAGTAGATACATTGACGGTTTGCATAGGTATCAAATATAAAGAGCTACAATACAGTGAACATCTGTGTATCAACCACACGGTTTAGGAAAAAGAACCTTACCATTATCTTTGAAGTTTTCTTTTGCTTCTCCCCAATTCCATCTCATTTGCTCCTTCCTCAGAGAAAGCCACCAGCCTGCATTTTGTGGTTCTCAACAAATGAGGAATAGAAGGAAACTTCCTAAAACTGATAAAGAGCATCTACAAAAACCTACAGATAACATCTATTGTGTCCATGTTTCTCTATATAATTTTACCAAGCATGTTTGTATTCCTAAACAATGTTAGATTTTGCATGTATTTTATCTTCACATAAATAAAATCATTCCATATGTATCATTCTAATTTGTTCTTTGTGCTCAATATTATGTTCCTGGGATTTGTTTGTAAAGTTTCATGTAGCTGAGGATTATTCATTTCTTCATCTATATTGTATGTTAAGGTATACCACAATTTATGCTGCTTTAGCCTTATTCCATTCATTTTGATAGTAATTAATAATTTCATTATTGTTCAGTTCGAAGGATATTAAAATACCAATTGTGATGTTTATTTGACTCATGAACTATTCAAAAATACATTTTAAAAAATTTTCAAATACCTGAAGCTATTTATCTTTTGTTACGGACATTTCTTTGTTTTCATGGAATATACATTATCACAGTGCTGTTCTGTAGAAGTGTTGTGTTATACTTCTACATATGTAATTTTAAAATGCTTAGTTGCCACATTAAAGACTAAAAATAAACAAGTAAAATCAATTTTAATTATTTAACCCAAACTATCCAAAATATTATTTAAATATGTAATTGTCTTAAAATGTTATCACAGGTGTTTAGATTTTTTGTACTAAATTTTCAAATTGGTATGTATTCTACATTTATAGCACATCTTAACTTGAACTGGCCACATTTTAACTGCTCAATAGTTACATGAAACTAGTGGCTACCATATTGAATAATGCAGGTTATAGTATAACCATTGTTTGAAATTAACTAAAACTTACTTTTTGTCCTAGAACTGGTCAATTCCATATGAGCTGGAAAATAATGATGTATTTATCCACTGATTGTTTACAAGGTTCTAGATGTGAATCTTAAATCTGTCTTATGAACCTTAAGTCTCCTGTATCTTTAATGAACTATTTATTTGCTTGACCCTGGATTGCTACATTACACAACTGTAGCAAAGACATTCACATAGCAGTCTAGAGTTGTGCAGTTTATACTTCCATTGGCATATGTGGTGGTCCTGGGCTGATTTGTCTATAACTGAGAAATCTGTGGTAGATTCTACCACTAAGGTATGGATTTAAGAATTTCTTTGTACAGTTATATCAAGTTTTGTTTTATATATTTTGAGGCTATTTTAATAGGCACATATAAGTTTAGAACATTCATAGTAAATTAAACTTACCATAATTATCAACTATTCATATTATCTATTTCTTCTTTAGTGAACTTTGTTGGTTGTTTAAAATATTTTGTCCATTTCATCAGAGTTGTCAAAATTAATGACATAAAGCTGTTCATAATATTTATTATAAAGCTGCTCATAATATTTCTATATTATCATCTTAATATCTGAGGGATCTATAGTAGTATGATCACTCTTATTTCTGATATTAGTAATTTCTGACTTCTCTTTTTTATTCCTGATTAGTCTACCTTGAAGTTTATTTTATTGATCTCAAAGAAACAAATTTTTGTTTTACTGATACTGTCTATTGTTTTTCTGTTTTCCATTGATTACAACTCTGATATTTTTTACTTTCTTCTGCCTATCTTGGGTCTTGGTATTAGGAAAGGACGAAATAGTTTGAGGTTACCCCAAAGAAGTAGACTATGTAGAACTTGCTACTGCATGGTTGTGGTAGAAGAGAGAGAAGGAAATGTCAGAGATGATTCAAACCTTCAGAAATGACCCTTGAAGGTTTTCAGAAGTCAGGAGGAAAGAAAAGATTGTAGGAGATGATATTTAATTTGGTTTTTGATGTATAAAATTTTTGGTGTTGATGGACCATTAGGGTGGAGATGTTGAACACGCAATTATAAATGAAAGTGACAGGTTTTTGCAGGAGGGTCAGAGCTAAAAGGAAAAGAGTGATGATGGAAAACAAAAGGATTAGGAGAATGAATGAGCAATAGAGAAGAATCACATACATAGAACATAAGAAGAATCATAATGATCATGCAAGAGGGAAGGGTCCCTGATCAATAAGCATACTTTTGCTGCTACTACTGATTTTTTATCTTAATTTCAGTGCCCCTATGAAATTCTCTCTTGAATTTCCTCCTGTCCTTACTTCCATCCAGAGGATCACAAGCTAAGCATGAAGATCTACTTACGTGGATTAAGATAATAAAGTGATCTTTATGTTTTCGAATTTCTAATATGTTTTATGCTATATTGCATCCCTGACATCACACATCTCTCTACCTAATTTGGTTTGTTCCTATCAATATTTGAGATAAGTAAAAGAAAAGAAAATTTCACAGGAACTGCTAACATGTATTGGCTTAATGGCATATCCCAACATACTTTCCTTTTTTAAAGAAACCAAATATTGTCTGGTGCTATTTTAGAATTTAGTCAAGTTTTTGAACCACAACTTGTAACATTTTATTTTATTTTTTGCACACATGAACAGCCAGAAGGCATTTTATTGTATTTGTGACTCTGCATATGTTGTTAGTATTTATTGCCAAAATAATATCTTACTACTTATTAAGCAAAAATTAAGCCTGGAAAAAATACCATATATGCAGCACTTGTAAATTGCTGTTAATAGTTAAAATGATATGTAGTAGCAGCATATATACTGCTAAAGAAAATAAACAGACTAAGTTTTGAAGTAGTATCTTCTGACCCAGGAACTACAACTTAGGAATTGTGTTAGGGGTAAGTATTGACTCATTTGTCGGGTTTATGATTTTCAGGGAATTGATGCTGATTTCACATCAGAAAAGCATCGAGCAGCTGCAGGAAACCCTTAGACAGAAGCTGCTGAGTGATGATAACTGGAAGGAGAAGGTAATGGTAGCGTGGCTTTCATCAGCATGCAACCTATTTGCTTTTTAAAAATTCTGACCATTTGTCAGAAGACTCTTCCAGATAGATTTATTTGCTTCTATGCACACTTTTGATTCCTTCTGGAATTTCCTAGACCAGACATGCTTATGGAATGTGTCTTTTCCAAAATATTAGACAACATAATGAAAAATTAACAATGATAACACATTTTGGAATCTTGTAAGATAGCTCTTGGTTCTCATGCAAAAGCATATCTTTTTGCTTTTAAATATTTTCTTATTTCCTCATCAACTGTCACAATCTACATTTGATCATATTCTTAAAACCAGGGAAATAATTCTTACAACTTCTCTTCTTCTCCTATAAGAAGATGAAAGAATGGAAAATGACTTAGAATTATTTGGTTTTGGACTTTTGACATATATACCCTGACAAAGTAAAATGAATAAGCATTTAGCTTGCTAGTATTTACAGAGAAATGTTTGCTGTTAGAGTAGAAAAAAAGCTGCATTGGTTTTGGTCTTTGGTCTTTTTTGTAGTTTTCAAAGTTTCAACAATGAATAGGCATTACTTTCATAATTTTAAATAATAAAAGTAATATTTTAAAAATTGTTAGTCCGTACCTTCTCAGATCATCCACAGCTCTAGTCATTGAGTTAAAAGCAGTCATCTTTCTGCCATAAACTTCCAGTACTCCTTGATTGATCCCTGGGCCGTATTCTACACACTGACCCAAAGCATTCCCAACTTATTCTCTTCCATGACTGGTATCTATGCCTAGCACTGGCCTTCTGCCTTAGTTTTCTTATTATGCCTTAAATTTTCCTCTAGAAATGGAGCTGGTTGCCAAAATTCAGATTGTTTGACTGAAGTCCTGACAACTTTTTGGGTTTTATCAGATTCTTCTCCTTGGGGATTGAACCCCATAACTTGTAGCCTCAGCAACAAGCAGTGGCCTCCTTCAAACTAACATCTCTACTAGGAATCCCTCACCCTACCATCCAGCATACTGAAACCCTTTAGGTATTCTTGCTGGCTCAGGACAATTTTAAATTTGTCGCTTTCATTTCCAGTCTTCAAATAGTTGGCCATACTAAGCCAACAGTAGCCCTCTAAAAATAAGTACCCCTTCCCTTCTCCATCAGGGTACACAGTCAGGATATAGTAAAAATGATCACTGTAACAATAGTACCACATGGACCAAAACAAAATTGGAGAATATGGACTAATGTTGCTATTTGTGTCTCATTCTTATTTTGTTTTATTTTGTAGCATAAGCCTTTTCTTTTCCTTCTTCTCTGAGGCCCAGCTTCTTTAATTCTTTCTTATTTTAATTAGCCTCAGGGTATTCAACTAACAGGTCTGCACTTATTCACTTTCCCTATTCTTGCCAATCTATGTGTAAAAATTGAAAAAGAAGATTATCAGCCCTATTTTGTATAATCCAAAATATTCAAATTAGAACAATGAAAGATTGTTTATCCATCCAACTGATAGAATAGTTTAACACTGTGGTTAAGATCTAGTGAGATCGTCTCTCATACCTACTCTTTAAGGGACTAGAAATTAAAGCAACCTTTTTGGAAAGCAGTTTGTCAATATGTACCTAGATATTGTAAACTTCCCATGTTTTGACTCAGAAATTTTACTAATGGAATTAATGTGGATAGAGATTCAGAGTCATTCCGCTTCTCAAACTCCTGAGCTCCTTCTCTTAGTATGATGGAGTAAACTTTCCTGCTTTTGCTTTTGTAGAAATTTCCCATCTCCATATTCATACCCCACTAGGGGTTTTCGGATACATTTCGCTGGAGAAAAAGTCTCTGTTTATGATCCCCTCTAGTACTTCTGTTCACCGTACCCTGTCTTGAGGTGCTAACAGAGTAGAACAAGTTAGTGTTAGCATCTGACATATAAAAGCATTTATGTTCTTGCTTTATGCTATTAAGTTAATTTGCTGGTAAAAATAATTCTATATAATATTCTATAAGTTCTTGCTAGGACTATGATATCTTTCTAATGAATTAATTATATTGCAGAGGTATTTTGGCATGTATAATTTTCCATAGTATAAATGGACATTTCATTTGGTTGAAAGGACATGACTTCTTGTTAATAAATGTTATAATTTAGCTAGCAGTAAATCAAGATCCAGACCGGGAAAGCAAAGGACTAATAATTATGCCTTGGCTATGTTAGCTATTGAGACTATGAATAAAAAGTTATCTAAAAGTCTTCTCATGAGAAAGGAGAATCATTAATATGACATGTCATCTCTTTCTTGGGTCACTATGCCTTTGCCAAAGAATGAAATGTTCTTTTTACAAATATATGATACACATATTAAAATAAACTTCATAGATTAAATGGTTTTAACATGCAAAAAAGTAGATAGCAATTTGTGTCTGTGCTTAATTATTTTAGAGTATGTAAAAAGCACATAATAAGATCAATAGTTACTATGTAACAAGGATGGCACATTTTTAAATAACTACATATTTACTAATTGTCATGGATTTTTATTTATTTCAAGTATTACTACTTGAAGAAAGCAAATTAATGTGCACGCTGAACCTTTAAAATTGGTTTTAAATGTACAATGTTGTTACTATTTAGTTAAAATTTTGTAATTAAAAAATCCTATAGCCACACTGCTTACATAATCAACTTACATTATTTAATCACTATCACTTTTTAGTGCAATAAGCAAATTCTAAGCAAATATTTTCTTAGATTATCATCAAGACATCACACTTAAGAACATTTTAGAATTGCACTAATGACCTCATTTAAAATAGTACATAGAGCTTTTGAGAAACCAGTAGTTAAACAAACAAAAACCTTATTTCTTGAGAGAAGCAACTAGATTGAGAGTGAAAATGCAGGTGAGAAAAGTTTACTTCAAGAAATAGTCAATTTTCAATTTTGAAGGAAGGCAAAAAAAAAAAAATCTCAAATTAGTTTTCAAAATTGAAGAACCAAATGACCTAATAATTCCAAATGTATTTTAGTATGCTATTATTAAAATTAAACGGGATAATTTCTGACATACAAAATGTAACACAGATGTTATTTATAAAATATCAATTTTAATTTATGTGTAATAAACATAGATCAAAGGAATATTGAGGACATGCTTTAATTTTAATATTTTTTTAAATGCAGTTTTAGGAATTGAATTAATAAAATCTGAAAATTTTGGGTCAGGAGTGGCCAGCAGAGATCATCTCATAAACCACTAATCTAGATAACAAAATTTGTCTCTATTAATAATGTAATTTTCATTATTATGACATTATTATTTCCATTTTGCAAATTACAAAAAAGACTTAGAGAAGTTGAGTAATTTACTAAAGCTATAAAGGCAGGAAATGAGCTGAGAATCAATTTCCATGTATCTAAATACAAAGTTCCATATTTCTGCATTTGGCCAAGATGGAGTGACAGGGACCAAATTTACCCTCCTACCTAAAACAAATAAAACAGTGAGGAAAAGATAGAAAACAATGGTTTCAAGACATTGGACATCTGGCAATGAAAGACAGTGATTCCTGGAAACAGAAGACAAACAAGGTGAGCCCTGTGATTGCTATAACTTAGTGTCCTGAAAGACATTTCAGGTCATGTGCAGGGAGTTGGAATCCAGTTTGAGCCTGTCAGATTCTTTGAGTTGAGGAAACCCTGCAGAGTCCTGGGAGATCATGGTGGCTAAAGTTCACGGATAGTGTTCACAGGAGAGAGAGCTGCACAAAGGAAGAACACTGGAGATCTACAAAGAGTGCCCCCTTGCATATGTTTATGATCAAAGTGTACATGTGGGAAAAGCACACAAAGCCAGGGGCAGACCGAGTCAGAGAGAGTATTGAATACTCACACATTGCCAATGATTTGCATTTTCATCAGCCAGACTGGAAAACCTGTAATTTATAAGGCCCTGGGTAGAGTGCTCAAAAGGGTCTTGCATCACAAGTTGAGAATAATTAGGCCTAGATGTAATGCTGATTTGATTCTGCCTAATACATTTTAAAAGGCAGACCTAAAATAATCAAGCTGATTTCAAGAAACTTAACTGCATCCTAGGACAGAGCTCAAGTATATTCATAGGAATACAAAAATATCTAGCACCAAACAAGGTAAGTTAACAATGTCTGGCATATAGCGAACAATTGCCATCCATGGAAATATACAAGAAAATAGGGCTCAAAATGAAAAGAAATATCAGTAAATAAAAACTGACCCAGAATGAAAAGAAATATCAGTAAATAAAAACTAACACAGAAGTGAGAATTAGCAGGAAAAACATTAAAACAAATATGATAACTGTATTCCATATACCCAAAAGCTAAAGAAAAAATTGACCATGTTAAGTAAATGGAAGATAAAAAAGACCAGTTACTGAATTTTGAGAGACGAAAACTAGATTATCTGAAATTAAAAGTACACTGGATTGGATTGATGGCAGAATAGACATTCCAGAAGAAAACTTTAGTGAACTTGAAGATGCAGCAATAGAAAATCTTTTTAAATAAAACAAGATAGACTCCAAAACAAAAACAAACAAACAACTCAAAAAGAATATCAGTGAGCCATGAGACAGATTCAAGAGGCCCAATATATCTGTAATTGAAATTCCTGAAGGACAAGAGACAGAAGAGGGAACAAAAAAAAAAAAAAAAAAAGGAAGAAATAATGACTGAAAGTTTTACAGATTTAATGAAAACTAAACACCCATAGTTTTAAGAAGCTCAATAAGCCTCAGGCACAAGAAACCAAGTGCACCAAGGGAAATTATAATCCAGTTGTCCAAAACAGTAATAAAAAGAAATATTTTAAAGCAACTGGATTTTTAAAAGACATTATATAGAGAGGAAAGAAGACAGCAGATTTTTTTTTTTAATCAGAAACAACGCAAGCAAAAAAAGTAGGATTGAAAGTACTAAAAGAAGGTTAGGGGGGCAGTGAGGAAAGCTGTCAACCTAGAATTCATACCAAGTGAAAAA